TATATTGGTGGTGTTTTCGGGTGGTGTTTTCGGTAAGGGTTGCCTGGACCTTACCCCACTGATTTTGGTGGTGTTTTCGGGTTATATATATATATATATATATATATATATATATATATATATATATATATATATATATATATATATATATAGTTAGGCCCGAACCCGGGGTCTTATCATTTAGATAATTTGAGGGCGGGATTACGGAGGAATTGGTAGCAAACCAGAACAGCCGTTAAACTTCAAGAGGGGTTGATAGTCGACTGACAGTAGGAGACAATCGATTGTAGAGACTGCAGGAATCCTGGGGTACGTGATAATCGATTAACAGAAATAGACAATCGATTATTGAAGGCTGCAGATTTTCTGGGAATGAGTGATAGTCGATTATCTTAAAGGGATAATCGATTATTACTGCCTGCAGATGTTTCCAATGGAACTGATAATCGATTATGGGGAATGATAATCGATTATTTGGCAGTGATTCTGGACAGACAGAAAGGCGTTTTTGTGGGGAATGGGTTGGAAATATATGGGGCTGATGAGGGAGTTTTTTGGGTATTTTAATGGAAGAAAAGAGTGAGATTAAGAGGAGAAATGGGGAGGTATGAAATGGAAGAAAATCAGGGATGGATAAACCAAATTGGTGTTTAAGAGATATTACACACTCTTAGCCTAACTTGGGGTTTGAATCTAGAATTCAAATAAGATATTACACACTTATTTAAATATCTAGAACCTAAAACTCACATTTAAGATAACCACTCTTAAGATATAGAATTAGGGATTTGGCTAAAATAGCATCACACTATTTTATATATACTCAAAGAGTAGAAGGAGTTTTAATATTCAAAGATGATTTACAATGGCCATAGGACCTGAGTTTATATAGGTACATAAAGGAGACTCTAAGGTCTCTTATTCACACAAATCAAAGGAAAACAGGAGCCACTCATTGTTGTCCTTTTGGTGGGGTAAAATCAGAGATGGGGGGTGTGGTTGTAGGGTCTTTAGTGAAGGTACATCAGGGGGGAAATGAATGGCATCTCTTTTGGTGATTTGGAGGGGAATATTTTTGGCCAAGTGGGAAGGGATTGTGCAGGAAATGGCTGGTTTTTTTGGGGGCTTCTTGTGGGTATTTTATGGGGAACAAGGTGAGGTTTGATTGGTGTAATGGGCAGAGATTCATGGCCAAGGGTGAAGGGAAAGGGGAAGGGAATAATGTGATTTTGGACTTATGGGTTTGGGATATTGTAAGGGGAATATGGGCAGGAATGAATGGCTAGTGATGGGTTAGGTTTTTGGCCTTCTGTGGGTGTTAATGTTGGGATTGTGAGATTTAATTGGCCAGGAAATAAAGGAAGGAGAGAGGGTTTTATTTGTTTACTGGAAAGGCTTAAAAGAAGGAAAATAACAACAAACAAAAGGTTTGGTTCACACATTCTTATTTTGGCTAGCGGCTAAAATAAGAGTAGGAAAACTTTATTCGGAGAAAGGAAATGTTTTTGGATCTTCAGGGTTGGGTGGGGTGTTGGTTCGGCCTAGGGGGGGGGGTGTAGGACAACCACGGTGTCGGTTTGGGCTTTGAGATATGGCAACGAAGTGAATTTAATCCAAATAACGTCGCCACACTTCGGCCTCATTCTCTTGAACCGCCTTCCCTTTTGTGGGCTACGGAAAGTCTTCGTGGATGCTCCCAGATATCTAACATATATATATATATATATATATATATATATATATATATATATATATATATATATATATATATATATATATATATATATATATATATATATTGATGGCTACAAACCACCGAGAGTATAAAATAATAGAAGTTTTAGAGAGAGAGAATGCAAAGTAGGAGTATATTGATTTCAAATTCAGTCCATTGCACTGAGGGCTCTCGCCCCTTTTATAGGGGATACAATACATATGGTCAAAGTTCTCTGATCGAGGCTCGTCGCCTAGCGGACGTCATCTCTGCCATGAATTGTCCTTTTCATCCTATCGCTATCGCACAGTCAACACGGCCAGTCGCTATCCGCCGGTCGCTATCGCGTATGTCGCTGTCCCGCCCATAGCCGAGCCCTGGGGCGAGTCGAGCTCGCAGGGCGAGCCGAGCTCACTGGGCGAGCCGAGCCCAAGGGTCGAACAAAGAACCTCCACGTGGCTATTGGGGTCCGGCTGACGTGTCCTCCGGAGCTATCCTCCATCACAAGTCCCCCACTCTCTGGGTTTCGTTGCAATCGGCGAGGGAACCCGAGAGAGTAGGTACTGTAGGAGAGCGGCGCGGGGTCCCACGTGGAAAAGGTTAGCAGGCCATTGGTGCCGTTTGGGCTTCGCCATCATGAGGGGGTGCGCCGTTTCGCCTCCCTAGGCCAAGTGGCGGCCTATCATTGCACCCATTCAAAACCTTCCTCTATAAATATCAGCCCTACTCCCTTCATTCCCCACCTTTTAGAGAGAGAAAGTAGGAGATTTCCTTTGCCGTCGCTAGCCCTCTCACCGCCGTTCTTGCCCACCTTCCGGCTCCACACTAGGTTAGTCCTCCTCGTCCTTGTCCTTCCATGTCTTCCCAATCCTCGGTCTTTCGTCAGTTCGAGTCCGAGCACGGTGCCGAGGGCTCCGTCACAGGCTCCGCGCAGGAGAACGACTCCCGCTCGCCCTTCGTCAAGGAGATAGTCGAGGCGGTCGAGATCCCTCTTCAGTCCGAGCCTCGTAATCAGAGGCGGACCATTCTCGAGGACTCGGGGATCCGAGCGCGAAAATGCACCCTTACCCGGGAGGAGTTCCGCAAGGCGAAGCGCCTAGCCTCGGCGCCGGGTGTTACCGTGCACCGTCCCACCGCCGAACAATCAGTCTTTGATGCCCCACCGGGTTTCTTCGCCATCCACCTCAAGTCCCTTGAGTATGGGTTCCGCTTCCCCCTCCACCAGTTAGTCATAGATTTCTTCCTCCACTTTGATTTTCTCCCTTGCCAAGTCGTGCCCAAATCCCACCGTTACTTGGCGGGATTTCTTATTCGTTGCCAAGGGACCGGGGTTTGCCCCGACCTGGCCCGCTTCCTGCTTCTCTTCCGGTTGGCGAAGTCGTCTGGCCGGGCGAACTCCGACTCGGGCTCGTATGCCTCCATATTCCAAAGACAGGAGAAGCTTTTCAAGACGAGAAAGGACTCCGCCAAGAGTTGGAAAGGGAAATTCGTCTTCGTTTCTCTTTCCTCGGGCTCCCCCTTTCGTAAAGAACCCCTCAGCTCCTTCCGTCGCCGTTCCGCGTTCGTCAGCTCGGACAAGATGCTCGAGGATGTAGAGACGCTCTGCCGAGGGGGGCCCTTCGAAGTCGGCTCGATAGTGACGAACGATGCGTTAGCGGCACTCGGCTTCGTCTTCCTATCCCCGGAGGAAACTCAACGGAGCATCGAAGAAAGCCCCTCAGGTCAGTGCAATCTCTCCTCCTCGGCCATCCGTAGGTCGCGACTACCTCGGCTTCCCCCACATCACTCCTTTGCGGCTTAAGTCCTTGCCTCATCTCTTGTCTTTTGGTTTATGCAGGTGAAATCATGCTCTCCAGCACCGAGCGAATGAAGCTCATGTTCCCAGATGCCCCAAGCGGCAACTCCTGGGCTCCTACCGTGGCCGGTCGTCCTCCGACTCCGCCCGTGAAGTCGACCCCCGAGGCGGCTTAGAAGAAGAAGAGAAAGGACACGGCCTCGGCCACTGACACTCCCTAGGGGTCCGAATCCCCATTGATGAAGGATTTCGGCCACCAAAAGTGTGTCAAGGCGGCCTTCCCCGCAGGGGTCTCCTTTCTGGACCGGGACTACGACCCGGAGACCTTTCTGTGTAGCATGACCCCTCCTACCGATCGCGCCAAGATCAAGGACGCCGACCGGGAGGCTCTGGCCTCGGACATGTTTCACGAGATGGGCTCGCTGAGTTTCCCTATTCATACTGTATAAATGCGTTTCTGCAGCGCTCACCCCTTGTATACCTGCAGGCGATGATGCGCATGGTCGACATCACCCAGCGGCTGCGCATCTGTGAGGCTGACCGGAGCAGGGCTTATGTTGAGATAGCTGACCTCAACGAGGCGCTGAAGGTGGCTAAGGAGCAAGCTCGCCAGGCCGAGGAGAGGGCTCAGCAGCTCGCGGAGGAGGCGGCTCGCCAGGCACGCAACGAGGCTCGCGAGCAAGCCGTGGCCGAGTTCATATCTTCGGGGGCGTTCCAAGACGAGGCCTTCGCCCGCATGAATGACCTGCTCAAGGCCTGGGGTCAGACTGACGCTGGACGGGCTTTTGCTCACTCCGAAGGGACCCAGTGGTACAACCTCGGCCTGTTCCGAGCGCAGCAGGTCCTTTCCGACCGGTTCCTCAATGGAGAGGACTTCCCCGAACCGTGCGACAACCCTGATGAGCTCGACACTTCCATCTATTACCCGAGTGGCGGAGACGCGGCCGGCGAGCAGACGGGTGCTAAGTGATTTTCCAAGATGAGCTCGACCACCTCCGTGTGTTTTTTTTTCTTTTGTGTAATGTTGCCCAAGACTTGTTATGCTATTGTTTTGAATTCGGATATGTTATGATTTGTTGCTTTGTATGGATATGCTACGCTCTCTTTTGCCCTCAATGTTACTGCCTTAGTCGTTTCTCTTAACTTGCGTACTCGCCTCCCCCCACCTGGCTCGAGCTCGGCCACGCCGAGGAGTGGCCACCTTGGGACTTGGTTCTCTGACCCCTCGTTATCCGAGACGGTTGATGGGACCTGACCTTTTGACCTGCCGCCCGTTGGACCGTTCCCATCCTGCCACGTGTACCCTCTCCCCTAGGCAAGATGCCTATATAAGGGAAGGGTCCTTACCATTTGTTTGCTCTCATCACCTTTTTGAATTCTTTCACACCTCACCATGCCGCGCTCGGCTCCTACTCCCCCCGATTCCAGTGAGGCGCGAGGGGAGACGTTCTCCTTTGGCAGCTATTCCCTTGGGGGCTCTTCGGCCATTCCAACCAAGTCGGGGCCGACCTCGACCCCGCCGCCCTCTCTGCGGGACTCTTGGGACTCGGACTCTGAGTCTGAGTCGGTACACCCCGATCCTTCTGCCAAGATCCCGGGGTTCATCTACTATTCGTCGGAGGAGGACGAGAAGACCCCATCTCCGCCAGCTCCGCCGGTCCGTCGTGCAGTCGTCGCCCCTCCGGTTCCTGCCGGCCGCGGCGGCCGAGGCCGTCACCCTCCAGCTCCTCCCGCGGCGGTTCCAAACGAGAGCTCTGTGGCATCCCACCATCCGAGCCGGTGCTCCCTTGAAGAGCCAGGCTCGCCCAGCCATGACGAGTCTACCGGGCACTCCGTCGTCAGTCGGGCTCCTTTAGCTCCCTACCCTCCGCCTTTCCCGTGCAAGCGTGGGTAGAACTGTGGCATGCACTGAAGTTAACTCTTGCTTTAATCATTGTAATGTGTTTAATTATTGTAAGGCGTTTGTGCCATGCACCTGCCCGTTTTCCGGGATGAATAAAATTTGGATGTGATTAAGCCTTGCTTTCACTTTTCGCCCTTAGCTTTCAGTGTTGTGTTCGGCTCTTCCTATGAGGAGGAGTGCCGAGCATGTAGGTTAGACCTTTATCCAGGAAGGGCACTCGTACATGGTCTGCGCTCGTACCTTCACCCGGGAAAAACGTCCGGGTATGGTCTGTGCTCGGCTCTTCCCCTGAGAAGGAGTGCCGGGCACGAAGGTTAGACCTTTATCCGGGAAGAACATCCGTACATGGTCTGTGCTCGACTCTTCCCTTGAGGGGGAGTGCCGAGCACGAGTGTTTGACCTTCATCCGGGGAAAACGTCCGGGTATGGTTTGTGCTCGGCTCTTCCCTTGAGGAAGAGTGCTGAGCACGAAGGTTAGACCTTTATCCGGGAAGAACATCCGTACATGGTCTGTGCTCGGCTCTTCCCTTGAGGGGGAGTGCCGGGCACGAGTGTGACCTTCATCCGGGGAAAACGTCCGGGTATGGTCTGTGCTCGACTCTTCCCCTGAGGGGGAGTGCTGAGCACGAAGAGACCTTTATCCGGGAAGAACATCCGGACATGGTCTTCCCCCGAGGGGGGGGGGGGGGG